TGTGCAAGAAGACATTCTGCCATTGTCGCGGCAAGAATTATATTGATGGGGAGTTTTGGCTATAACGCCATCGTAAGCAAATTGTTTCGCTGTGACAAGTCAGCCTTTTGAATAATGGACAAGCGTGAGGATATATTTATCACATTTGGATCTCATCAAACAGTAATATAATAAAAGGGCCTTCCCATTAAAAACTCTTAAGTGCTACATTGAATCGAAAAGAAATCCATTATATTTGATGTTGATGCGAAAAAGTGTTCATTATCAGTTTTAATCATTCTGAAATTACACTATTAGCTTTGCAAATGGAACAAATTAGAACGTATTGATTTTATACCGAAGATAACGTAAGTAAGTTCATTTTTCAGATTGATCCATATGTAGATACTAAACTTCAATATCGCAGATATATACATGAAAACCTTTTAAGAGAATATCGTTTCCTTGAACTTTGACCTGAATAGTGTAGGGGTAAACGTAATCTTCAGCCATTCACGAGGCGTTCTGACCCATCTTTCTCTCTCTCTCTCTCTTGCCATTCCCAGAAAAAACATGTGGCACTAAGGCGACCCTTGTGTTTTGGGTCTGTGGGGCTCTTGCTACTATCACATACCAATCTACCAACAGGCTAGGACTTTGATCTGGACGTTGTTCCTAAATTCCACACCTTACAGAGGTACTGGAAGCAAAATGGTATTTCATCGTTGCATTTCAGTCTTTGTGTTCGGTTATATTTCAATCCAGTTATCTTCAAAGACTTTGCCAATGACAGGTCGTGGCGTACGTTTCTTCACACGCCCTCGCCGGAGAGCGTTTGCCGAGATGGTCAGACCACAACAATATGTGATTCAGGAGAAGATTACAAGAAGCAACATCCATTGCCTGACTGAATGTAGTCTTGTACAGAGGTGCTTGGCAGTCCACATTGTGAATGGGAATGGTTCCTGCCGCTGTATACTACTCGCACGGGCATCCTATGATATCTATGGGAGAAGAGGACGGGTGGATTACATATATCATAAACTAGGGATGACTGCGAAACAACAAATAGACAGGGTATAAGGGTTAATAGTTCAGACTCAGTGGTTGATATCGAATATCCTTGATCAAAACCTGTTGAAAAAAACAACCAAAACGGTTGTTTATTTTTAAAATCCAGTTCTGGAATACTGTTGTTTGTTCTCATACCACAGTGGACTTCGCTTACACGTCTTCATGCGTTACAACGACAGGTGTGGACGTCTAATGTCCCACCTCCCCAAAATCGGCATTTTTTCGTCTAAAGAAAGACTGCGTGGTTCACAACAGCGGATGTCCCACCAAAGACCAGGCGGTTTAGTCAGTATGCCTTAATGGAACTAAAAAAGTAATTTCTAATTGGCCAACTGCTGCAGTTGCCTTTGACAGTTGGAGACGAATTGTGGTGTATTCAACAAGTGCCCAAAGGTAGAGTAGATCTGTGCAAATCAGACAGTGTTATTCTGGCTGGATCTGTTGAAAGGAGGTTACAATCTTTAACCAGTCAACGTAACGCAATGACTGCTGATCATAACTAAAAGCTTGTCTTTTATCTCATTGCTTTATATAATGCATTCCATAAATTATAATGATCCAAATTCACCACAACGTGCAGCCAATTGATGCAAACATGCCTTCCTATAGTTAGTTATACAGTTTGAAAGACTATTATGGGATCGATGTGGTGTTAGGTAAATATTATTACCTATTCTTCACTCCAGTTCAAGTGGGGCGATGGGTAACCAAATTGTTAAGCGTTCGCTCTTTATCCCGAAGACCCGGGTTCGATTCCCCACATTGGTGCAATGTGTGAAGCCCATTTCTCTTGTGCCCCGCCTTGATGTTGCTGGAATATTGCACAAAAAGCGGCGTAAAACCATACTCCCTCAGTTATCCAGTCCAAACAAGGCAACACTACCACTGTGCTCGAAGGGAGAACGTTCAAAGACGAGTGAGCCTTTTTTCTCAACATACCATGTGCAAAGCTTGTGTTAAGGTAACATACATGTAGATGTGATTATTCCCAGGCTATTGGTGACTTCAGCGTGCGTGCCCTTGTTGCAAATTTGCGTCTGAGCTTTTATACAATCATATATGTTTCCTTTTTTCGAGAGAGTGAGTGAGTGAGTTTGGTTTTACGCCGCTTTTAGCAATATTCCAGCAATATCACGGCGGGGGACACCAGAAATGGGCTTCACACATTGTACCTATGTCGGGAATCGAACCCGGGTCTTCGGCGTGATGAGCGAACGCTTTAACCACTAGGCTACCCGACCGCCCCTTTTTCGAGAGATAATCAGTCTATGAAAGGTTAGATGACGTCCAGGAAATGGACATAAAGAAAGCGCCATGGAGGCTGTCCCACCGGTTGGTGATGAAGATGTGTCTTTGTTGGTGAAATATAAACATAATATGTTATTTCAACTATCTATTCATTGCTAAAACAAATGTTAGAATATATGAAAGATAAAATGAAAGGCGGCAATCTGAAACTATGTGTCACCACAAAGCAGTGTATTACACAAAAGAATGGATAACATAATTATCAGTAATAAAAGATTACTGCCTCAGTTCACTCGCCTTTAATTCAGGTTTGTTCAATATGACGAGGAAACTAAAATTGTGTCTGTCTGCGATGTCATGGGATATCGAACAAACGAGAATAATAAGTGTTTTTTTGCATGAAATTGCTTGTGTCACGTGTATTGCCTATGCAATGTGTGTTAGCGTTTATTTTACCTTAGGTGAAACTGTGCATGTCAACATCTTTTGTTAGATTCACCTGGATTATTCAACATGGCGATGATGCACCCAAGTACATGTAATATCTCCTTGAGGGCATATCGAGTTGCATGCGTTGGCAGTTTATACGCGATATAACTTAGTGTTCGGAGGAATTGCCTTGAGCTGCACTCTGTTTCTATTGCTAATTTCTCGATCATGTCAGGTAATCTGTTTACGACTCGGGTCAATTCATGTTCAAGTTCGGCAACATACATATTTGTATTAAGCATCGCTCCTTGAAAGACATGAAGTGATAAAAATGAAAGGACTGACTGAGTGGTGTGATCAGTACCCTTAGGGTCGTAGACGTAACACTTAACAGTGAAACCCCCGGGCAGTTGTAGGGTCAAGAATCATCATCGGGTAATTCGGGATTCGAACCCCCGAACCTCATCACCTGATCCCTTTAGTCGCCTCTTACAACAAACATAGGGTGCTGAAGATCAATTAAAACCCGGATCTTCACGGGACACATGCATAATTGAATAAGTGCGACTCGAAGATAACAACAGATTATTTCGGGATTCGAACCCCCTAACCTCACCGTTTGATCCCTTTAGTCGCCTACAACAAACATAGCGTGCTGAAGATAGATCAATTCTAACCCGGATCTTCACGGGACACATGCATAATTGAAGAAGTGCGACTCTTTAAGATAACATCAGATGATTTCGGGATTCGAACCCCCGACAAGTCCGACAAGTCCTGGGGCGACAAAGAGACGCACCCGACACATCCTGAATATTTATCTGTTTAATAGTTGTGGTTTGTTGTGCATCGAGAAAACTGTACTCAGAAAGCTCTGGAGAATACTCTGAATAAATAACCTCAGGTGCATTCACAGTAATGCCATTATTTCAATAAATATATGATGATAAAGGGTGTTTAAGTTATAAGTAGTGAAGTAAACAAGTGAACGCTCAAGTTTCTTTCGTTAGTTCATGATTCACATGCACAATTGTTTTGTTTGTTTGTTTTGAGACGCCACACACAATATTCGAGACAATCCAGTGATTGACATCATGAGCTTCGATGAGGATACGATGACACGTATCGACCAAGTCGTATCTCACAACCTGATCTCTTTAGTCGCCTCTTACAAGCATGGAGTGCTGACGATAAGATAACAATAAACATCACCAGACTCTTTAAGTTAAAAGGTTTCCATAAATGCTTTAGAATATATATTTAGTTCTGCTCCGGAAACGTCCGGAAAATGCTGAATTCAGACACGGACAACAAAGCCACTTCGCATGGTTTGGTTTGTTTGTTGTTTAACGCCGCACTCAGCAATATTGCTATACCCAGCTATATGACGGCGGTCTGAAAATAATCGAGTCTGGACCAGACAATCCAGTGATTGATATCATAAGCATCGGTCCACGCAATTGGGATACGATAATATGCATCAACCAAGTCAGCGAGCCTGACTACCTGATCCCGTTAGTCACCTCTTACGACAAGCACAGTCGCCATTTACGGCAAGCTTGGGTTGTTGAAGACCTATTCTACCCCGGATCTTCATGGGTCACTTTGCATGGTAGCATGGAGTGAAGTTTGTGAGTTTTACTTCAAGGATTGCAATCTGCCATCATATTTCAATCATTTAAAGTGGTACCAAAAGGCAACAGTAGACGAATCTTATTTACACAACGAAAATGTCAAACCCACCACCAGAACAAAAATGACATCATAACAAAAATTCCTCAATGGTTAGATTTAACTCAAGTCGATGTCCTTCGTTAGTTTGGTAAAATGCTTCTGCATTTACTATTGTTGATTACAAACATGAGTGAGTGAGTGAGTGAGTATGGTTTTACGCCGTTCCTAGCAATATTCCAGGAATATGACGGCGGGGGACACCAGCAGTGGGCTTCACACATTGTACCCATGTTGGGAATCGTACCCGGACCTTCGGCGTGACGAGCGAATGCTTTAACCACTAGGCTACCCAACCGCCCCTCGATTAGACGTACGAGAGCTCGTACCTTGTACGAACAGTAAAAAGACACATTTCGCCAAAGGATAAATTTAACAGCTACATAAACATACTCATCTTTCAAGTTTTATTTAAAAATGTATGAATTACTTAAATGTCATCACAAAATATGTAACTGCATATCGTGAGAGCACATTTACCTAGCACGATTATTTTTAAACGATGGCCAAGGAAGCGAGGCATAATGAACTGTATCCAGGAGGCACTCGTAAATAAGCGATTGATCAATTCATTTAGTGCGCCATAAAATAATAAAGGAAGCTGTGATCAATCACCAGATTTCCTCCATGTATATAAATTTTGAAAATTTGTTCATCGCTACACTCGTATCTTACTGCGACCTCCAAGTGTAAGTATAATTTTTCGTGTCCATAGCTTTGTGGTTTCACCTTTGATCCGTCTCGCAATAGCCCTTGACAGTGTCCCCACATTGGAAACGTGGCGGAATATATAGTTTTACTTATTCACTCATTAACGTACAAAAGACACACAGCCCGGTTGAACAGTATTTCATTTATGTCACGACGTGTCACCTTGACCTGAGAGTCGTGTACCACTGTGGTGAAGCCACAAGCACGGGTCTGATGCTGACAGTCTTAGACGGTGAGGTGAGGTGAGGTGAAATTGGGTTTAACGTCGCGTCCAAGATTATTGCACTTATATAGCGACGTGCATGCACGTGTGTGTGTGTGTGTGGCTGCTTGTACATGTACTAGTCCGGACTGATGCCGATTTATAGTGCTAGCTCACTGAGATACCATGCCGCAGTTTAACATGAATACCCCACTCAGACACAGTATACTGACTCCGAGCCGACCAGTCCTTGTTTTAGCCTCTTAATGTCGAGCGCCAGACAGGGTAACAACAAGTACCATCTTTTGGTATGACGCGCCCGGGGAGAGTCTTAGAAACATTATGAAGGCAATGATCCGGACCCACGATCATTGTTTTTTACAGGCCCCCGGGACGCAACTCTGCACAGTGAAGTGCAGAGTCCAGCACGACTTGGACATCAGACAACAAGAGTGATTCGCTGTGCAGAGTTGCGTCCCTTGGGCACGTCAGAAACCTATGAGTGTGGGTTCGATTCCCGGTTCGCCCCGAGTATGTTTCTAGGTTTGTCAGCACCATACCCGTGCTCGTGGGTTTCACCGAAGTGGTAAACGTCTGAGACCTGCATCACATCGGGCTTTCCTCCCACATTAAGCTGACACGCCGTGACAAACTTGAATAATGTTAAAAGCGGCGTTAAACCCAACTCACTCACTCACCTCAGCGAGGTACATGGAGGTAAAGTGCCCATTGATTAACCAATCAGACACGACCTCGAGTATCTTTATGCAAAGCAGTCAAAAGCACCGCGATACACACTACAGCTGCGCCAGATACTACAGCTGTTGGATTCGAGTAAGATAAAAAAATCATATACTACCTGGTATATGTGAATATAATGAGCATCATTAACATGCACGCATAGACGTGATTATGTAACATGATGTACGTATAAACATTAGTTTGAGTTTGTCTTTTTATCAGATTCCCATCATCATCATGATGAACCAAATTACCCTCCTCGTTTTCGCCACCCTCATGGTAGCAACTTTGGCCAAGCCCATATATGGCGGATACGGACATGGATTTGGAGGCATCGGGCATGGACTTGGTCTCGGGCATGGACTCGGATTTGGCATAGGTGGATACGGAGGTCTAGGAGGATTAGGAGGACTCGGAGGTCTCGGAGGATACGGAGGTCTCGGAGGTCTCGGAGGTCTCGGGGGATACGGTCTCGGGGGATACGGTCTCGGAGGTCTTGGAGGACTCGGAGGTGGTTTAGGGGGATACGGTCTCGGTATCGGTGGATACGGAGGCTATGGAGGATACGGTCACGGTGGACTCGGGGGCATCGGAGGATATGGAGGCTACGGCAGTGAGAAACCTTATTGTTTTAATACTAAAAATCATTATCATCTGTCTGTGATAGAAGTTATAAGTAGTTTCGATTTCGGAAAAGATTGTTTGGGTGTAATAAGGCAGATGGGAGGGAGCATGGGTAATCTAGTCGTTTAAGGCGCCATGACGCCTTCATTTTTATTTTTTGAAGGTGTTATTTTACAACAGCGTATTGTTATGAATGGTCTCAAGGATGTAAGTGTTGTGTAAAAATATTCTAATGAGTAGTCTGTGTTTTCTTTTACAGTATCATGTAAAACAGATTGCCTGCTCAATGTTAATGTATAACTGTCATACTGCTCAAAGCACCCGTCCAAACGTCAATGTTATTTTTTTCATCTAATGTTGCACCCTTGTTTTATTTCAGGGTACTAATCTGGGAGAAAACTAATTTCTTGCAAGTTCCGGCCAACGTTCTGCTGTCGTTGTATTTTACAGAATTAAAATCTGCATAGATATTCTTTACTTTCTGTTGTGAATAAGCATATTGTATACAAAGCACATAAGGAGTGTGGTATAAGGTACGGAGTAAGCTACGAAGTTGAGAAAAACCTCATGCATATAAGCCTAAACAATGTTATAGGAATACATGCTCTCGAAACCTGACCCAACCTCCCAATATAAATGGTGACCGCACAAGAGTGAGTGAGTGAGTATGGTTTTACGCCGCGTTTAGCAATATTCCAGCAATATCACGGCGGGGGACACCAGAAATGGGCTTCACACATTGTACCCATGTCGGGAATCGAACCCGGGTCTTCGGCGTGAAGTGCGAACGCTTTAACCACTAGGCTACCCGACCGCCCGACCGCACAAGAAGAAGAGGACGAAGACGTATTTTTGCATGAAGGTCTCAGGCCCATACAGCTCACAACACAAGCACTGCTTGTACTTTAAAACTTTGTCATTGCCACGCTACGATTTTTGTTAGTTTGTTGTTTAACGCCGCACTCGGCAATATTCCAGCTATATGACGGCGGTCTGTTAATAATCGAGTCTGGACCAGACAATCCAATCATGACATCATGAGCATCGATCCACGCAATTGAGATACGATGACATGCATCAACCAAGTCAGCAAGCCTGACCATCCGATTCCGTTTGGCGTATCTTACGACAAGCATAGTCACCACTTACGGCCAGCATGGGCTGCTGAAGACCTATTCTACCCCGGATCTTCACGGGTCCCCAACGGTAAGAATTATATATATGAAGTATTTTGGATATAACACCAATTCAAAAGTGTAGAAAGTTAAATAAAACGACTGTTTTCGTGGTGTAATGCATAGATAGAGCGTCTGCTGAAGGCCGATGGTTTGATACCCTGTCTACGAGTTACTAGTGAGTGAGTGAGTGAGTTATGTTTAACGCCGCTTTTTACAGTATTTCAGTCATATCACGGCGTGTCAGCTTAATGTGGGAGGAAAGCCCGAAGTGATGCAGGTCTTAGACGTTTACCACTTCGGTGAAACCCACGAGCACAGGTATGGTGCTGACAAACCTAGAAACATAATCGGGGCGAACCGGGATTCGAACCCACAATCATAGGTTTCTGGCGTGCCCAAGGAACCAACTCTGCTCAGCGAATTGCGGCGCCTTAGACGACTGGGCTACCCGTGCCCCCCTACGAGTAACTGAAATACCTTCACAGATTATACTTGGAATGACAGGGATAAACTATGCCCAGTCGGGGCGGAGTCAGTATATTGTGTACCCATGGGGTATCCTTGTTAAACTATGACTTGGAATCTCGGGGGCCTAACACTATGTGGCTGTTACATTCTTAAACGCAATGATCTTACCTAAACAGGCCGACGTGCGCAAAAAGTATTACGTAAACCAACTTGAATGTCCTAAGGAACTTTGTGGTGAAATCGACTTAAAAAGTAGTTTTTTATCGTGTTTGGATCCGTTCATGGTGGGTTCAGTGATTGTTTCTTATGATCCTTCAACTGATCAGTGTCAGATTTGTAGGACCTGTGCAGCTTTGAGATTTCCTCTAACAGTAAAGGGCAACTAACGTAACAAAGCAACTTTGTAGAGTTTAATACTTCAGGGCATACCTGATCACAAAATGCTTAACTTAAATCAAATTTGAAAAGGGCCAGTGTAAAACAGAATTCGTTCCCCAAACCAAACATTTTAGTCTGCCTTATGGTTAATCGAAGGTCAACATGTGCAACACCTTTTGTAATAGGTGCAAACTCACTGGAGCGGGTTGATTAGTGAGACAATAGGGGATTAAGGGGGGGCATTTCACATAAATTTGTTGTTTGTTTGTTTGTTGTTTAACGCCGCATTCAGCAATATTCCAGCTGTATGACGGCGGTCTGTAAATATTCGAATAATCGAGTCTGAACCAGACGATCCAGTGATTGACATCATGAGCATCGATCCACGCAATTGGGATGCGATGACATGTATTTACAAAGTCAGCGAGCCTGACCACCCGATCCCGTTAGTCGCCTCTTACGTCAAGCATGGGTTGCTGAAGACCTATTCTACCCCGGATCTTCATGGGTCCATTTCACATAAGACACAACAAATTACCATATTTGTCTATTCTCATAATCACAGTGGCGCATTAATACATAACACAACGGTCCTTTGGGGCGTCATCGGCCTACTGCCTACCACCATACCTTGTGTGACCCTCCACAATAAAGGTTGCCGCCAAATCTGGGCGGATTAATGATAATTCTATTCATTGTAGCTATAAACACAGATAACTGAAGAATGATGCACGTAAAATCATATGACAACTTACTATGAAAATTAAAAGATTAAAAGATAATTTCTCACAAGACCGTAAATAATCATTCGTTCAAAAATGGGAATAATAATATACTATCCACAAGGCTCAACCATAAGAGTGAGAGAGTGAGAATTGTTTTACATTGCATTGGCAATATTGCAGCCATACAGCGATGATATCATAATAAAAAACGTTTTAAATATTGAAAACGTGTCGACAATGCAAAGTAAAACAACTGGAGTATCACATAGGTTTTTTTAAAACACATATGTAACCTTAGAAAATGACTGGTTGCTGGTACATAGTAAGCTAGCATCAAGGTCGGATCCAGCATTTTTAAAAGGGTGGGGTCCAAAATATGAAACTCCTCTCTCAGATAAGTTTACTGTCTACCACATGGTCCCACCCCCTGTGGGTCCGCCTATGACTATAAAAGGGCCCATGGGGACGTACGGTACATCTGCTACATGCTTTTTATCTCAGGAGAACTTACAGCATCTCTCTGGCTCTATGACAAGAGGGGTGACTTCAACTTTTCCTTCATACAGCTCTAGCCTTTGGCGTCTATATTTCACAACTTTTTATGTGTATCGAGTATGATCTTTCTACGAAGATTTCAAAGAGCGTCATACGACGCTTGCCCCAAGATTTGAATAGTATCCTATGTTCTCACGTTATTTTTAAGGTGAACTTGACTTGCCTTACCGTAAGTCTTTGACGTGTGCCACCGGTGGGCCAGGGTATATATGCTCACCTTCGCAAAAACTTGGTACCATCACCAATTAATCGTCATTTTTTTAATTATTTTTATTTTTATGGAAATGGATTTGTCGCGTTCATTGATTATCTTGGTGAAACTCTTGTGATGTCCCTATTCTGTTGGTCTTGACCCTCACAATCAACTGCCCCTTTTCCTTAGGAGGTGTGGTGAGGTGAAAAGGGGTTCAACGTTATTGATTATTGCACCTATATAGCGAGTGCCTCCTGCCCTGAGGGCACGTGTGGCCCAGTCGTCTGAGACCTGGTAATTCGCTGTGCAGAGTTGCGTCCCTTGGCATGCCTTAAACCTGTGATCTAGGATCGAGTCCCAGCACGCCCCGATTAAGTTTCAAGGTATTTCAGCACCTTTGCTAGTGGATTTCATTAAAATGATTAACGTCTAAGGCCTGCACCACTTCGGGTTTTCCTCCAACATCAAGATGGCACGTTGTGACATAACTGTATTACCGTTCAGTGCTAACTGAGGGACACATTTCTGTTCTGTGAAATGGGCTGCCTCAGACCACACGGCCACCAAATTATAATATATACTCTTAAAAAACCGCAATACGGATATTTTGGGGCATAGAAGCAAAATTAGCGGACCAAGAGGTGCAACATGAAGCGGTTTAATGTGTTTTATTGTCAGTGATACATTTCCCGGATCACAACCGTCACAACAAGGACATGCAAACTATTAGTCAGGAAACACGTACGATTCGGAAAAACGCACCAAGTGCATTAACAGATGGGCCATGAAGCTGCACGCACTGCATGTCTAGCAGCACTATGAACGGTATTAAAGTGCAGGGTGTTTGATTGCCTGGCATCTGTGTCAATCAAACAGTGACAGTTCAACATGCCAAGATTAACAGAAGTGCAACGAAACAACGTCTTAGGCCGCTTGCAGACAGGAGAATCACGATCAGCTGTACCCAGGGTTTTCAATATAGCGCCCAGCACCATCACAAAGCTATGGGATCGGTTTCCACAGCATGGGTCAACACGTGATCGGCCAAGGTCGGGACGACCAAGTGTAACCACCACGGCCAAGATCGCTACATCCGACTGCGCCACCTGCGTGAAAGGACCGACCACAGCCACCTCAACCGCATCCCAAATACCCGGACTGTGCAGAATCGCCGACCGTACGAAACCGTTTAAGAGTAGCAGGTCTACGAGCAAGACGTCCTGTTCGACGCGTCATATTGAGCCGACAACATCGTCAACAACGACTGCATTTGTGTCGTCAACAGAGGGTATGGCCTCAACTGCGATGGAGATGTCTGGTTCAGCGACGAATCAAGATTTCTCCTCCGTCGAGGGATGGAAGAGCACGGGTCTACAGACGTTGGGGAGAACGTTACGCCAGAAACTGCGTACATGAAGTGGACAGGTTTGGTGGGGGTAGCGTTATGATGTGGGCGGCTGTCTCTCGTCAAGGCAGGACAGATTTGGTCCATATCCAGGGCAATCTTACGGCTCAACAATACATCAAAGAAATTCTCCAACCACACGTCCTCCCAATTGCAGCCAACGGCAACGTTGTATTCCACCAGGACAACGCTCGACCGCAAACAGCACGGATCACAAGAACCTGTCTACACAACAACAACGTTGAGTTTCTCCCCTGGCTCTCCAGATCACCGGATTTAAACCCGATAGAGCACCTGTGGGATGAACTGGATATCGATTCAAACGGGGGACATACGCGTTATTGATGGTAGCTGACTTTCACCTTGGACTTTTCCTATGTCCCGATATCTGAGATTACTACAATCACCAAGTGTTCTCTCCACAATATTTTGTCTCAATACCTTGTACGGTTATTCGTATAAATGCCGCCACATAGCTTGAATATTGCCGAGGGCGGCGATAAAAAAACAAGAAAACATTGTATAAATGTATTTTCAATCTCACACAAATCTGGCTTTGCGTTTTTTT